CCTCCTCCTTCAAATGCAACAGATCTCACTAGTTTGTTAGCATCTTTCCTAACCGATTTCAAATCCCTAGTCACTCCACTCATATCACTCCTTACAAATCTCGTATCTCACCTCATCCCTCCTTTGAAAAATCCTTAATGACCCACATACCAAAACCCATGTCCATTCTCCTTTGGAATGCGAATGGTGTTAGAAATCACGTTGACGAACTAACAGCTTTACTACAAGACAAGAACATTGACGTAGCCCTAATTACAGAAACTCGACTGACCATAAAACAGCATTTAAAAATCCCACAGTATTTAACATACCGTACTGACCACCCTGATGGCAGAGCACATGCCGGCACTGCTGTCATCGTACACCAATCCCTCTCCCATCACTTACTCCCATTACCTACTCAAGATTTCCTACAGTCAACCGCTATTGTAATCAAAGCCTTCTCCTTTCCAGTCACCCTTGCATCAGCATATTGCCCTCCTAACAGATCCATATCCAAAGTCCAGTTCAGTTCTCTCCTCAACTCCTTAGGTCATCATTTCATCCTGGGTGCAGACTTAAATGCCAAGCATCAAGTTTGGGGTTCAAGAACCACGAATTCTCGTGGCAGAACATTTCTGTCTGCACTCAATACCCAACGTTTCAGTCTCCTTCCACCCAACTCACCTACCTACTGGCCCACAGATCCTAACCGCAATCCCGATATCCTTGATTTTTTCATCCACAGTGGCTTAGGTCCCCTCAATCATTCCCTTACCCCTCTTGCCGAACTATCCTCAGATCATAGTCCATTATTACTCCAATTATCTCTAGCTCCTATTCCTAAGTCTTCTCCACCGTCCTTCATCAGAGGCCCAGTTAACTGGAAACTCTTTCACCAAATCCTTACCGATAAAATTGACCTCAGAATGACCCTGAAAACCCCAGATGACCTTGACAATACCGTACACTTTTTTACCACCACTATCCAACAAGCAATCTGGACTGCTTCCTCTCCAAACCACTCCTCAAGAACTCCTAAGAAAAATAAGTTACCTCAACACCTCATAGACCTAATCCATACCAAACGCCGTGCCAGATTATTATGGCAACGTACTAGACACCCCACCGATCGCCAATCCTATAATTATTTTTGCAAAAAACTAAAGATAGAATTGGCCACCTTCAGATCCCAATCCTTCAACTCCTACCTCACTTCCCTCTCTTCTCATGACAATTCCCTATGGAAGACCACCAAACATATCCTAAAACCCCATCATATATCACATCCTCTCCGTCGAGGTGATGGCTCTTGGGCAGCATCTGACGAAGATAGAGCCGAAGAATTCGCCAAACACCTTTCCCTTACATTCACCTCTCATCCAGAATCCAATCCCACCCACACGTCAGCAGTAGAGGAATTCCTTAATTCACCCATCCCACTCTCCTTACCGCCTAAAGCAGTTAATCCTTCTGAGGTCAAATTCCTCTTACAAAAACTACCTACCCGTAAATCACCTGGATACGACCTCCTTACCTCTCAGATCCTTAGACAACTCCCTCCTAAAGCTGTCATATTCCTTACATACATATACAATAGCATCCTACGAACCACCCACTTTCCTCTTTTGTGGAAACATTCCACTATTATCCTGTTTCCGAAACCAGGCAAACCTCCCAACACCTCAACGTCCTACAGACCAATTAGCCTTCTTCCGATTCTCTCAAAAATCTTTGAAAAGATCCTCCTGAAACGCATCCTACCCTTTATAGAATCCCAAACTCTTCCTTCCCATCAGTTCGGATTTCGTTCACAACACTCTACAGTCCAACAAGGACTCCGAGTGGTTGATCATATTTCCGCAGCATTGGAAAGCAAGCAATATTGCTCGGGTGCATTTCTGGACATAGCTCAAGCTTTCGACCGGGTATGGCACGCCGGGCTTCTTTCCAAGCTGAAAAACTATCTTCCTCAGTCCTTGTACCTTGTTCTCCGTTCCTACCTCTCAGATCGTACCTTCCGAGTTCGTTGCGGTACTGAATTTTCGCATTGCTATCCAATTGAGGCAGGTGTTCCTCAAGGTAGCGTATTGGGTCCCGTCCTTTACATCCTCTTTACCGCCGATATCCCTGTCCATCCCGATACCTTCCTGGCAACTTTTGCTGATGACACCGCCATTCTATCATCCGACTCAGATCCCAACATAGCATCCTTAAATCTCCAAAACCACCTCACCTTGATTGAGCACTGGTGTAATAACTGGCGCATTAAAGTTAATGAATCTAAATGCCAACATATTACCTTTACACTCCGACGCAGTTCCTGTCCACCAGTACACTTTAATTCCATCCAGCTTCCTTACTCAGACACAGTCCGGTATCTTGGCTTTCATTTAGACCGAAGACTAACGTGGAACCCACATACTAGACTCAAAAGACAAGAACTCAACCGACGATACGGCCAGCTATACAGACTACTAAACAGAAAATCCAAACTTTCTATTGAAAACAAATTACTTATCTACAAGACAATACTGAAACCTATATGGACATACGGACTTGAACTGTGGGGGACAGCAAAAGCTTCTAACATCAAACGTATTCAATCCTTTCAATCTAAAGTCCTTCGAACAATAGTTGATGCTCCGTTCTATGTAAATAACAAAATCCTACACCATGACCTTAATATCCCATTTGTCCTAGACCTTATTCCAGAAAAATTCTCCAAATTTCACCAGAACCTTACCTATCATCCAAATCCCCTTGCACAATCTCTATCCACCACCACCCATCCTTACAATCCTCCTCGAAGGTTGAAGCGGCAGTGGCCCAGAGACCTTTTGTAAATAAGCATCTATTGGAGTTTTGGCAATGGCCAGATCCTCCACTCAAGCCCGAGTGTGTATGATTAGGTTAGTTCTTTTGTTTATATACATTTATTTTATTTTATTGTATTTATTTTTATTTTATTTTATTGTATTTATTATTATTAAGTTTTGTATTATTTTTTTTTTTTATTGTAAATAGAGTGTGAGTGTGCTTTCTCTGAACACTATTATAAATGTCCTTAATGTGACAGAATGTAATATTTCTAAATAAACAAATATATAGTTCTGCCATAAATACTGTTACAAAAGTTGAACTTTGTTTACATCCTTAGGTATTATTTAGATAATCCTTACCTCTATCAGATTATTTCTTTACATGTCAGGACAATAATCCTAATTAGATTGTATTTTTCTTTCGCTCAGTTAACATGGAGTGGGGTGATAAAGAAAACTGAATAGCTGTGATCGCCTTACACAAAGTTGGAAAATGTAGGTCAGTGATTTTCAACACTTTGAAACCTTTGGGTATCAGTCGTATGTTTGTTTACCAATAAATAGATATAATGAGACCCTATCTGTATGCGACAGACCTCGGCCATGCCGTCCCCGCACTGTGAGAACGGCAAATGCAGTGAGAGCAGTGGCTGCTTGAATCAGAAGAAATCCTATTCGAACACAACAAATCATGTCTCGGGAAATGGGAATCTCTGTCAGACCAACGTCTCGCATAATAAAAAGTGACCTTAGGATGGGTACATTTCGAGGAATAACAGAACAGAGGCTAACCACTTCCCTAAAAAAAATTAGAGTAGATAGATGCAAAGTGCTCCTTGGGTGTTACACCGATGATCTTCATCGAAAGATTTTGTTTAACGATGAGAAAATTTTAACAATTGAAGACAAATTTAACCGCCCAAATGATCATGTGTACGCACACAGCTCTAAAGAAGCCCAGGAAGTCATTGGAAGAGTGGAAAGAGGTCATCATCCTTCCTCAGTGATGGTTCGATATGGAGTTTGTTTTGATGGCACCAAAAAGCTCCATTTTTGTGAAAAAAGAACATTCCAGAGTTCATCTCTGCCTCGGATTGGCTCTCAGGAAGCCCTGATCTTAACCCTCTTGATTATCGGCTTTGATCCAAACTGGAGAGGATGGCATGACACAGAGCACACCTTAACTTGGAAAGCCTCAAACGATCTCTGGTCCGAGCAGTTGAGTGCTATCCTCAAGAAGTGCTGCGTGCTGCGATTGATGACTGGCCACAGAGATTAAATGCCTACGTCAAGGCAAAAGGGAGACATTTCGAGTAATTTCTTTTTTGTTTTACTCTCTATAGATATACATTTTACTTATATTAAGCTACTACAGTAGTAATTTTCAAGGGCACTCAATGTTCTTATATATGGTATCTTCAAGGAATATATAAGCCCTTATACTTTTACATTTTTTTCTTTTTACTTCCAACGATATTTCGATCTGATTTGCTCATTATCAACTCATCTACAAATAACAATTAAACAAGGATAATTTACAACTCTGATCGCTCATTATCTAGACATATAACAATTGAGAACTTACTAAAAATATTTTGTTATCTATCACAATGTAATAGATAATTTCATTAACAATTATTGGTAGTACACCTATTTGCTATTTGGTAATTTCTGATAAAGTTTTTGAAAAATTAATTTTTCTGTTGAAATCTGTATATATTTTCTTGTAACAATATTTATGACAGGACTAGATAGTTCCAACGTAATTTTTGTTTGTTAGTAATTGAAATTTTATAGTAATACTAAATAAAAGCAATTGATTTTTTTCAATTTATAAATTAAGAACAAATTTCATATAATAATTAAATTTAATTTTAATAGAGTTCCACTTTATTTTAGTCAGTTCCAAAAAAAAAAATCTGTAGTTTTAAATGAACCTATTTTCACTGAACAAAAAATGAGGAGATAATTTCACCTGATAAGAGCTGTAAACATATGTCCTAAACGAAAAGGAATATTGAAAAGGGTGAGCATAAATGAGAAACATTGGAAGGAAAAATATTGGGCTACTGTGCATAGTTCTCTCCTTTACCTCACCGGCAAACACAAGTTAGACAAGCACCAAATGTTTTGAATACATTACCTGTAATTTTAAACACCTAGTATAATGATTTATTTTTAAGATCTAGTCATACAAACCTTTTTAAAACTAATGAAACATTTTGTGAGATAAGAAAACTAGCACAGCGTGCAGCTTTTTGACTTGCATCATTATCTCTATTCTTCCATGAAGCAATGAATTTAAGTTGATCAAACAATCGGCTTGGGTAAAGTTTTTTCTTTAAAGATAAACATAATGTCCCAATAGTTACTAACAGGCGAAAAACTGCTTCTTCCTCTTTTATTGACATTAATACAGATTCTGAGATGTCATAGCAGAGTGTTAAGCAAATAATATCCTTTCTCTTTATAGCTTCAACAGAGAAGTTTAACAACAATGATGCTAGTGCTATCTATAAACAAAAATTAATAACATAAGTAACGAATTAGTATTCCAGTTAAGTGAATTAATCTTGTAAAATTAAAGAAACAATATAAAGATAATTTTTTTTTTTAAATATTGCTAAAACAAAAAATATTTCTGTTTACATCAAGAATGAAAAAAAAAAAATCATTTTCAAAGATAAATATATTAATGAGAAGGAGTTAGTTGAGGGTGCGGTCAAATAAATAAAAAAAAAATTAAAATTATTTATATGTTTTAATTTTTTTTTATTTATTTGACCGCACCCTCAACTAACTCCTTCTCATATCATATCAACGGTCAACCATCTCTACATCATAAATATATTAAGTTTTAGTAACAGTTTTAACTGTAAATAAATCAAGAAACTAGCATATTTTGATTTCAGTATTATCAACAGATGTTGGTAACTATTTACAGTGTGAAAACATTGGGTTTGGTAATCTGGAGCTTGAAAAAATTTAAATGATTAAGAATTGGCAGGTTTCTGATGAAGTCCCACAGAATAAAAGTCTGCTATTGTTCTTTTGAATTATTTTATAATTCGTCTATAATTATTTTGAATTATTTTATATTATTTTTTTAACTCTAGTTAAAAAAAATGTACATTAGTTTGGCATGTAGATATCATACAAAAAATACTAAGGAAAATACAAATATATACAAAGAATACAAAGGAAAATATAAATATCTACAAAAAATTAAGGAAAAATACAAATATATACAAGAAATACTGAGAGAAAAAAAGAGTGAATAAATAAAAATAAAATGGCTCCTATCAATTAACTGCTGGTGATCAACGTAATTATGTAACCCAAAAATTCTTACAAGCTTGCGGAAGTTTGAATTTGTAGTAGGTGGTGGAATAGGAGTTGTTTGAAGGAGTTTATGGACGTGGTTTGATGTATGGAGATGGGTAAGAGGTTCCAGAAGGCAGTAGCACAAATGATGAAGGATTTACTGATGGAAGTCTCACTTCCAGTCCTGTGGACAACAGCCCTCCATACCCAAGCAACTGTAGTCGAAGTGGGGGAAAACAAGCGATCTTACAAGGAGCTGTCTGGTTTTTTTTTTTTTTTTGGATGGAATCATGGTTATTCCAAGAGAGGTTCTGATCAAAGATCACTCTGAGGTTTTTGATTGTCAGAAAGAAATGGATGGGTATAATAAAGGTTATTGAGGTAAAGGGCAGAAAGAAAGGAAACTAATGAGATGCTTGGAACCCATGAGGATTACCTTAAGTTTTGTCTGTGTTCAGCTTCAGTTTATTTTTTTTTTCCCATCTGTGGATAGAGTCAATATCCTCTTCTAGTTTTTGGGTAGCCTCGGGCATCTTAGATAGTTCGAACGATGAGTAAATTTGTAGATCGTCTGCATATAAGTTATAATGGGAGTGACGAATTGAGTCAGGAAAGTCACTGATATAAATGGAGAACAGAGTTGGAGAGAGTGAGGAGACCTGAGGAACACCTCTTGATAATTGAAGGGACGAGAAAGGAGATTTGTCAGGAATAACAAAAAAAATTATAGATGTGTAGGACTATAGGAAGTAAGGTTGGAAGGCAGAGTTTAATGATTTTCACAGGTATTTGGTTAGGACCATAGTTGTTGGTTTTGGATTTAAGGATGGTAGAGAGTAGGTCAGTTGGAGAGATATCAAGAAAAAAAAAACTTATCTGTGTCAAAGGAGGTTTCAGTGATGGTAAAAAGTAAGAGGTCAGATGTGAATACATAAGGAAGATGGTTTGCGAAAAAGGACTTTAGTTCGTTTGGATCTACTGGATAAAGTGTGTAGGTTTTGGAACTTATGACAGAGAGGTTCCTGAGGATTGTCTATTTGGATGTAGGATTAGATGCTTGGAATAGTACATTGTTAAAGTATTGCGCTTTGGCCCGGCGTAAGGATATTTGTGTGCTGTTTCATAGGGATTTGAAGATGGTAAAGTGTTGGGACAGCCATTTACGTCTGTATCGTCTTCTGACAGCCTCTCTTTCTCTCATCAAATCTCTAATTTATGAATTTATTCAAGGAGAAGGAGGACATCTAAAAGTACAGGTTTTAAGAAGAGCTTGGTTAAGGAAATCAAGAAGGTTAGAGGAAAGTTATTCCACCCTGTCATTGATGGAGGAAAGGAAGTAGATGAGTTCTAAGGATGATGTTATAATCAGTCCTGCTATAAAAAGCTAGACAAGTAGAAAATAAATTTTTTTGTGGTATTTGATATCGACAGATCTCCCCAGCCATATAACCAAAAGACTTATCAGCAATAAAACCTCTCTCTTAGTATTACTAAAGTGAAGTTTGGCATTTAGCTACAAAAACTGGCGAGTGACCAAGATGTGATATACACTTAAGCCTTGGAAAGAGCCATATGTCAATTCCATGCCTAACTGACATCAATCTTGATGAAAGATTTAGAAAAAGTGATTGAAAGACACTTCATAAATGTTGCGATTGTAGCAGCACTTTAACCATGTTAAACCATCTTAAACTTAATACCTCCGCTCCTATTAATAACTGCATCAGTGATAACATATCACCATGTAATATATAAAAAACTAATGAATTTGGTTTGAGTGCTTACACAGAGTGCCTTCTTTATACCTTATACAACTAAACCTAGGAAAGAGCCACATGGCAAACAACGAACCATGTTAAAATTACTAGTTATAAAGAATAGTTTTAGGTAGGATTGCACATCTCCTATCAAAGGTCGATGACGCATACCCCCTCTTCCAAGAAATTTTATTGCTCTCATCTTCTTAAAGACTGCAAGCATAATTAGAAAATTTGTTGGTTGGAAAGTTTCTACCATAATTGGAGTCATTTCTTTTTAGAACTCCACATTTGTACACGTCTTTGTCGATCTCACCAACTTACTGGGAATTCCCAGTTCAGTCATGATTTTCCAAAGACAGCTCCTGTCCAAAGAATAATAGGCTGAAATCGACAAATAGGGCGTGGACATCCTGAGCTGCTTCCCATCATTTCGAGTACTTGTTTTAGGATGAAGATCTGGTCTAGCATGCTCTTCCCTTTTCTGAATCCAGCTTGGTGGTCACCTATTATATTCTCATAATACGGATTTATCCGGTTTAGTAGGATATTGGTCATTATCTTGTAGGCAACCAGAAGAAGTGCTATGCCTCTGTAAGTAATTACTACACTCATACATGGAGCCTTTCTTTAGGATATAGGTATTGTTGTAAAAGGAACATTAAAAGACATTTCAGATGTTTGCAGTAAACCCTTACATATGAGATAGCAAACTCAGGAAATATATATATATATATATTGAAATTGTGAAATTAGGACAAACAAATACTAAACACTCGTAATGTTGTGGGTGTCTAATATTTTTAAACTTTCAGACATCAATATCTCCCAAAATCAGACTAGCTTCATATAGTTGTTTATATAATAATATTATATAAGGAATAATAATATTATACATAAGGAAACCTAATGAAATTAAGCAACTTTTTTGAAATCCCTACAGTTGTAGCTTAAAAATTTGTTGAGCTATGAACTGAGGGATTTAATAAAAATTCAGGTCGAAACGTCGGCATATGTAAAAATAAATATTATCATTTATTTTTGCCTTCCTTTTTGACTGACCACCCCAACTATTCTTCTCTTCATTATCCACAACAGTCAACCAATTACCAATTATAAAAATTGCTTCTTTGAATTTATTAAGGAGAGAACAATTCAAAAGTCGTTGTGTGCAAAGTGATTATTAATGGATAAATATAATTTATATTTAATAGTATTAATGATTGAAGACTATTTCAATGAAATTCAAAGAACAATATTTCAATGAGGAGTTGAAAAGGTTGAGAAATATGAAAGCCTCTAATCCGGGAGAATTATGTGCAGAGCTGTTGAAGTATGATGTAGTTAAGGTAACTAAAACACTCACAAACCTTATTAATAAAATCCTAAAGGGTGGAAACATACCTCAAGAAATGAAGTTAGGGAATCTGACATCAATATTTAAAAAAGGTAATCGAAAAAAATGTGAAAATTATGAAGGCATCTATGTGATAAGTCCATTCATGAAACTACTAGGAAGAATAGTAAATGCACAATCGGAAAAACAACACGTTCAAGCTGAGGAGCGATGTGGATTTACAATAGAGAGGTCCTGTATTGACCATATTTTCACTCTGAGAGTTATTAGAGAAGCAAACGGACAAATCAAAAATACTGATTTAATTTTCATTGACGTGGAGAAAAATTAAGGAAGGCTGGAATAGACCAAGGAACTGTGAACCTAATTAAAGAAATTCATACAAATAATAGGTAACAGATAAAAATTATTATCTAGACCCATTATTATCTAGGGAATTCCAAAACTGAAAAGGGTTGCTGCAAGGATGCTGCATGTCTACCACTATATTTAAAGTGTACCTTGACAAATGTCTAAAAGGGTTGATGAAGAAATGTGGACAAGTGGGTGTTGAGTTAAGAGGAAAAAACCTATGCTATTTACTATTTGCTGATGACCAGGTGTTAATTGCACAAGATAAAGAGGATACAAGCTACCTATACAGAAAAATAATAGATCATTATGAGCAAGGGGGGCTCCAAATAAAACTAAATATATGTGTATGAAGAAAGAAGAGATCAGCGACCCAACATTATTCAAACACAAGTAAAGTCGATTAATTTTGTTATTTGGGATCCAAAATTAAAAGCTATGTTTGAACAGACAAAAAAAAAAAAAAAAAAATCAGTCCTTTAAATAACAAATATAGTCTCAGAGGAAGATTTTTTAAGCTTGATAAGATTTATTTATTTTGTAAAACTAAATATTTAGTAATTTATTTTTATCACCTTTATTTTATTTTCATAAACCAAGAGGAGGTAAAAGTTCATACTTGACATATAAAGCTCAGATTTTCTCTGTTATAAAATAAAGTGAGCTAGGGGGATTCTAATATTAATGTAGTTTTTCATAAGTAATTTAGTTTCTTTATTACTATAAACAGCTAAATAACTATCCATACGACACTGACTGTGATATTTCTGGTAAATAAATACTCTTTTAAGGAGTGTACCGGATTGAATGAATCAGTGCTTGAATTGTACCAGCCAATGAATTGTACCGACCGTAGTCACATGAATTAACTAAAAATAAAATTTAAATGATATATAAGTATTTGAATAATATTAAATGTCACTCCTCACAGTTAATTTGTATTCCTGTTTGAGACTAATAAGTTTTTCCTTGGAAGAAAAATTCCATATATGATGCCGACTGGAGAGGGAAGAGTCCAAAATAAAATAGCCTGGCTCAAGAAATAAATCTAAATCTTCCAATAATTTGAAAAAAATTGTGAATATATTCCAGAAAGCATGTGGTGAATCTTTTAAATCCAAAAAACGATGATCTACCAATGACGAAATCGGTTCTTCTCAATATTCTGCTATCAGGGTTAAGGCAGATTTTACTCAAAAAGAAAAAAAAATATTTAAAATCACTATGTGCTACATTTGATAAATCTTAAATTAATATTTTGCGATGATGGATACAAAGATTCTGCTCCCGAGACAATACTGTTTTTAAAAAAATTAGCACTGAAGCTGCCAGCGTTCTCTTTCAGTTAACCAATGAATAGAATTAAGTTTAGCCGACAGTTCTTGAGACGCTGACATATTCAAAATGGTGAAACAAGTTTTTTAACAAGTTGATGCTTGACCGGACCCAACGTTTTAAGACTGAAAAATGTTATGAAATGGACATTTATCTATAGACAGAATTACCGTTAAAAACTTCAATACTTAATAAAAATAAATAAATATGTCCATAGATGTATATATTACAAATAGTAAATATTATTGGTTTATTTTCAAAAGAGCACTGTTTTAAGTCCATTTTGCTTAAATTTTATTGATTATCCTTGTTTGATTTCAATATAACGTTATTGACAATCAAAGGTGGATGAATATATGACTTGTGGTTGTTTATAATGACGAAGTATATCCACTATATATTTATTTCCGAATTGAAAAAAATATTTCCGCAATAAAAAAATTTCCTGAATTTTCCCATTTTTCCAGGTCGGTCGCCACCCTACCTCAACATGACTCAGAGAAAAAAATTCCTTTCAGTTGAAATGGATATTTCGAGGAGAGCAGCTAGGATATCAAGGACCGAAAGGGTAAGAAACGCCAACTATGAGGGAGAGATTGGAAATAAAACAAAATATACTACAGGTGACGAAAGGAGACGCAGATAGTTTGGCCATATGAGACAAATGGGCAACAATAGTGTTAAGCTCCCTCTTAGTTTAAATCAACTTTGATTGAAGCCTAACTATTATTCAAATTAAATTGATTGTAATTTAAAAGAAAGTGGTTTGTATTATGAAACATTTACACCTACTAATAATGAAAACATAAAAAATAAAATGAAATCAATTTTACATTGGTATCAATAGATAAAATAAATTAATAACTTCTTTTTTTTTTTTTATTTCTTAATGACATTTACAACTGTATTACATAAATACATCAAGTAAATTTGGAAATAATAGATATAATGACATGAATATACTTGCTGAGTAACTACCCAACGGTAGCACTCTATTTAACTTCTAAAATAAAAATAATGATAAGCTGAATACAATGTTAATAATAATTATGAAATATCTAATAAAATAGTTGGATGTTTGATTATGGAAAAATTAACAAATATATATTAAACCTAATTTAGGAATTATACAAAACTGAACAAAAACAAATTAATAAAAGTTGAACAAGTTTACGTGGTCGCAAGCAGGTGACGGTCGTAGACCGCTGGCACTCCAATCCTTATTCAGGGACTGAACGTAGGTTCAATATGAGCGCTCATATAATTAAATCTGCAAATGGGCAGCGGCGAGCACGAGAAAAGTACGTCTCTTCACAATAGAACTGCAGTGGGCAGTGTTGAATTAGGCAGTACACAGCTCAGTGACGGGCTGAGTTAGACTGTCTATTGTCAATTCTACTGCCTTATGACTTGAACCTAGCACTTGTTTATAGGGCTACAATCGATACCAATTTAAGTATAAACTAATGACCTGTTGAATTTACACAAAATAAGCTATGGCCTAAGAATATATATATATAATTATTAATTGGTTTCATTTTATGAGACAAATCAAAATAACAATTAACCAAATATGTTGAAAATAAAAATAAAATAAATTAACGCTGTAGCGTTAACAGATAGGATACCAAAGAGAATTATGGATTGGGAGGCAGAAGGTAGAAGGAGAGGAAGACCCCCAGTTAGATGGAAGGATAGAGTGGTGGAGAGTATGGTTGGTAGAGGACTGTCGGAAGAAGATGAGATGAACCGGCAGAGATGGAGAGACTTGCTGAAGCAGGAGTTTGATTGAAGAAATTCCTATGAAAAAAAAATCTTATTACCTTATTACACTCCTTTAAATAGTGAGCCTGCTCAAATTAAGATTGAAATTCCAGTGGAGACTAGTCATAATGGTAAGTAGAGTCTATGATTCAAACTTGTGATATTCACTTCACTACTACTACCATGATTCAGGAATTCTGCAACACCTACCTCTTCCCAGTACTTTTATATATATTTGCATGTTTTTATTTATTTTTTCTGTTAGCATTACAGACCTTGTAGATCTTTTGCCCGCCTTCTCCCTCTCTGCCTATCTTGGTCTATTTCTTTCCTGTTATCTGCATTTTCCATGAAGGAATACAGATATAAGCAGGTAGGTATGTATGCATAGTTGAATAAATTAAATATAACTAAATCAAAAGAAAAAGAATAAAACTTGGTGAGAAAACACCTGTCTTTTTTTTTCAGAAAATATATAAAACGTAACTAAACAATAAAATTAAGACTGAAAGAATACCTCAAATCCTTTGTGTTTCTCAGAAAATTTTGACATTGGTAAATGAGAAAATATAAATTCTTTGTGAGCAAATACGAAGTTGATGCCTTCTACTGAAGAAAACATGTTGCACAATATGCGGCATACAAGCATTCTGTTGTTATGGCTGCAATTCTCATCCATGAATTGTTTAAAACTATCAAACAAGTCTAAAGCCAGCTGACCTTGAAAAATATACTTGTTTACTTTTGGCCTTATTAGAGCTATCCTTGTGACATCCAAAACAGGATAAACTATACCTATAATATAGATAAGAAATATAAAGATTGAGCAAGAATCATTAGAGAAAGTTAAATATTCAAGAGGTCAACAACAAACATGACTGAATGAGAAATGCTTTATTAAATACATATAAATTATAAATTTCCAAAAGACAAACAACATTTATACGGCATGATTACTCGTCTGCTGGAAATGTTATATGTTTTACATGTACAGTACAAATAAAGACCTTATAACAACTGCATATACGTGAATGACTAATAAATAATAAAACAACTAACACAATATAAAATAATAAGTAATTTGAATAATTTATGTCTAAGAAATAATAATAAAGGAAAATAATGGAAATAATTAACAATAACATGAATAAAACTGACCACAAATAAATTAGGCGGATCATTGTTTATGCTGGATGTAGCAAATTAAAATGGTGTTTCCACGCATGTCTAGCAAAACCGACAATTTTAAGGCATTCGTTCACAGAAGCAGCATTTAGAAGGAAAATTTCAGAAAGGGCTAGTTCCAAGAAATTTGATACGAATTCGACCAAGGATTGAACACTCGGCCAAAAAATGGAACAGGTCCTCCTTTACTGGTAGGTTACAGAGTGGACAATCCGTATATTCCCTGTCAAGCCACGGGATGTAATTCAAATAAAGGAGTTCACACCTGAGCTTGAACAACCAACTCAACTCGCCATCTACGAATTTCAAAATTTTAAGATCGTGACTCAATTCCCTATATAACAGAAATCGATCAGAATTCAATGCCGCTAATTTACACTGCTCCCAATGTTGCTGAGTGATTGCAGACCGTATTGTTGCCAACTGGTCTTTCCATAACGAAAAGCATTCCAAAGACCTGTCGAACCTGCAAGAGTATCTTTCCGCCAAATTGCACCAATTTTTAAACCAAAAGGTATTACATTTAATCACTTCAACGGCGATAAGTCTGGAGAGACGACTTTCAGGCAGGCACAGTAACTCGAGACACTACTTAAAATGCAACTGTAAAGTGAATACCTCAAGTGAATGTGTGGCTGTTTCTAAATAAATCATATAATTTGGTGTCATTGAATTAACAACATACATGAAATAGATCAATAAAAAATTCATTTAAATTTGATATTTAAATATAAATCCTCTGAAATGAACTCCAGAACACTCAGAGAGTTGATCAATGGTTTGGTGACTGTTTTCACTTACAAGGGATTTAATTTTTTCAATGTCCGACGACAACATTGTAGTTGAGAGGCATTCAGAACGAGTTTCGTGTTCATTAGACTTCTTTCCATTCTTGAAATATGAAAACCACTTTTGCTGTGACATCATCCCCTTAAGCTGTTTTAAGGATCACGAGAGTTTCCATGGGCATTTTTCTTAACAGAAAACAAAATATCACAAGTGCGCGCGCTTGTTGGTTTTGTCGGTCAGCCACCTCATATGTTCACCAAAACAGAGAATGTTGTTTTATGAAAAAAAAACTGGTGTGGTGAATGTACCACTCAATTTTTACTTACCATCCTAGTTTGAATAGAAATATGTTGTTACTTTCATAGAAAAAGAAATGAAAGTAAAACTTATTGGAGGTACAACACATTCATTTAGAAGTGCCGTATATTTTTTTTAGTCCAATAAAGGTGTGAAAAAAAAATATATATATATATAGGAAACCACTGGTCTCTAATACAGCACGAAGTCGGCAAACCTTTTTTATCATTGTGAGCATTTTTATTAGGTAATATATATAACTAAATGTTTATTAAAGCAGAGCTACCACTTATACTATCAGAGCCTTTTTAGCATTCCTCATTTCTGATAAAGCATATTATGCATGCTAATAAGTAATCATAAAATTCTGACCATAATCATGCACCCTTGGTGGTTCTCGAAGCGACTTTTGTTAGTTCTTGGTTTCAACTTATAAATACATGTTTCTCCTCTAATTAATAATCAAATACTTTCATAGTTCTAACTATATATTCTTTTTAAAATACAAAAAAAAGGTATTTTATTTTGCATTTCAAATACACAAAACAAATAGAGTAGGTCCCAGTGTAATAGGCTGATTGCCCAACAAGAAGTATTTAGTATTTGAAATAATTTTTCTGAAAACAATTTAAATACTTTGTAATTAAAATGCACTATATTTTAAAAACACAAAATACTTGGTATTTTAAAACAATAATTAAAATACTTTTTGACCAAGCCTGGTTTATATATAACCATTTTTACTTTCACTTACCTATGTATGTAATATATAGTAGAATAATAATAATAACCTTTATTTGTACATCATCATCATCATCATCATATGTGGCACGACATCCCGTTACCGAGACTGGGCCTCCTCCAAGAGCCTCTGCCAGTTGGCTCTGTCTTCTGCTGCAGCTCTCCAGTTCCGTACACCAAGCAGGGTTCTCGCATCATAGGCCACGTTGTCCAACCATCTCGTCCTCGGCCTTCCTACCCGTCTTACGAGATGCAGCTCCTCCATCATTATTTTCTTTGGTATTTCAACGGTGCTCATTCTGGCCACATGCCCTGCCCACCTTAGTCTGGCCAGTTTAATATACGTGACTACGTCGATGTCTGTATAGAGAGAACTGAGCTCCCTATTTTTTCTTTTCCTCCGGACATCACCCTCCTTTACTGGACCATAAATCCTTCTGAGGACTCCTCGCTCAAACACACTCAGCTTCATCTCATCGTTCTTAGTCATCGTCCAAGCCTCTGAGCCATATGTCAAAACAGGCCGAACAAGGGTCTTTTATATGATCAGCTTGGTCTTCTTTGAGAGGTACCTACTTCTTAAGTGTCGGCCAAGTCCAAAGACACATCTATTGGCAGCCGTGATCCTTCTTTGTATTTCTTGAGTCATGTCATTTTTGCTATTAATTTCAGACCCAAGGTATATAAAACTTTTCACTCTCTCAAACTTAAAAGAACCTACCTCAAATGGAGAGTTCAGATCCACCTCACCACCAACTCTCATATACTTAGTTTTCCTCTCGTTGACTGCTAGACCAAGTGGTCTTGCAGCTGCTTCAAGGCCTATAAACGCTTCTCTGAGAGCCCGTTCAGACCTACCTATTATGTCAATATCATCAGCAAAACCAAGAAGCTGTGTCAGGCGATTGAAGATTATATCGTTGGTCTGAATACCGGAGTCTTTATTTGTACATACAATGCAAAAACATGTATAAAAACAAACTAGATATATACAAAATCTTTATATTTTGATTTATACTTAATATTCTTATATAAGTACAAAATCAACATTTTAGTTGAGGTTTTGAGTTCATTTTTTTTTTTTTTTTTCCTGTCTCTCTTGCAACCAAACTAAGTATTGAACCTATAACATCTGTTTCCACTGTTTCTTCTCCAATGGCTCCTCTCTTCCAGGCTGCTCCTCCGCAGTATATATAGTAAGGGGAAGTATTGCAATCGTGAAAATTTTAAAATCTCAGTTTTCAACAGAAATGCATGTTTTGAAGTCCCTTGAGTCCAAATAACCAAGTCCCACAAAATGGTCTGTGTCTGTGTATGTATGCTAACAGTCTAGCTCAAAAACGAAAAATCACACATAATTTAAATTGTATATTTAAGGTTTTTACATGCTTGGGATGTTACAGAAAGTTTTTCGTCAAAAGTGACTAACCGGAAATGCCACTTTATATTATCAATTTTACACATTTTTACAATTTTATCAAAAAACTAACAATTTTGATTAAATTCATTACATCAATATAAAATTAAATGTTTTTTAATATAATGTAGGTCTTATTCTTACTGATGTTCTCTCGGGCTTAAATGCCTAATTTTCAAAATTTCTTCCTCTAAAGAACCTTTTTTTTATTTGAAATAATTAATCATTTCACATTGGAACCTGATATAAAAATTGGTTAAATATGAAATATGAAAGAATTCGATAATTATCTAAAGGAGAAATAACCTCATATCATTTGTTAATTATAGAGAAGAGAAGAAACCCGAGCACACAGCTGAGCTTTGCCAAAGGTTACAACCACTAAGTATAGAAAAAACTAGAGGCGCTTTCCCGAAGCAGGTAGAAGGATAGAGATGTGATCTAGTATCCCCACCACTAATGGATTGACTTCTCTTCCAACGGACCCTTACAGAACACTGAATTTTAACTTGCTCTGTCGCTTTATTACTATAATTATAATTGTTGTTATATTTTACAATTAATAAACGGGAAATGTGAAAGGTGATGTATATTGTAGAACATTAATTCAGAGCATAATATTAGAATTTATTTATGATTTTTTTATTGACCTTTCAAGTGAAAAACTTTTTTCAGTTATCATATTTTTTGTTTCTCAATTTTTATCTCCAACAATTTTTTAAATCTTATTGTAAAATAAATTTTACCTATGCTCTGAAGGAGTCAATGGTTATGGTTATCTTCATTACCAGTTAAGAAACGATCATGATCATAGTCCTAAAAAAATTTTGTTTGTAAGCATTCAGCAGTCAGCTTATTTAAATAAATATTTATATCGCCCTTGAATGTTTTTTTGCTTATTATTATTTTTGCACAGATTTTACAAATTCTTATTAATTAAACCATTATCCTTTAACTCTGGACGGGATATATGCCTTTCAGGTAATGAATTGGGTCAATGGTGTGAACGGGATATAAGCCTTCCCGACTGGGCTGGTTGCCACTTAAACAAGTAGGGGCAAGTCCCGCCTTCACCATTTGACTTGTGTCTTGGTCGATGCATTCATTAGTCTCCTGTAGCTTACTCAGTGCAGTCATTCCAAATTCTGACAATTTGGAAGCTATCAGTTGCAGATTAATTCTGAACCCAAGGAGTGTTGTTTCTCTGTTATTTGTGCCATATCCATGATCTTATCTATATTCTATTTAATGTTTTATACATAAATAAATTAGCTTTATGTATTTTTTTTTTTAATTTTGGTTTTGACCGAATGCTGATTTCGGTACATGTGAATCTCAGTGTACTAAACAATTAAATGTGAATTTCTTTTATTTTATATATAACTAAATTAAAATGTAATAATAAAAATTAATAAATGTAAAAATATACAAAATTAAAATGATGCTTTAGTTGTTTTATCATTTTTTTTTTTTCTGTTGGCGCTACAGACCTTGTAGATCTTTGGCCACGAGATGTGATCTTCTAGACCACATCCCGATTCCTGATTTAAGTACACGGGGGTAGGGTCATCAGTCCTACGCCCGGTCAGTGTGAGTTGCCTCCAGTAGGCTGACAGGCCTCACAAACCGGTGGGGGAGGTCTTGGGCAGTGTGGCTTTCCCTGGTGGACGGTCACCATCCAAGTGCTAACCACGCTCGGTGTTGCTTAACTTGGTTACCTATTGCAAGCGCACAGCTACCCCAGACCCTATAAAAGCGAATGAAACACAAAATAAATCTAAGCGCAATAATAAAATTTATAATTTTCAATATGGAACTTTTTTATGTAAGAAAAAATTTATAAATACAAAGAAATATATAAGTCGGTGTCATTTTTTTAGAAATAATATCATTTAATTTTTATGATCACTTACAGTAATTTTTTTGATCATTTTCAGTTATTTTGCTTTTCAGAAATGAGCAAATACTCAAGAAAATGAAGTGATACGGAATTGCCGCTCTAATTTTGCATTGCTATGTGTGGACGGGAAGCATATATCTTGAAAACTTGAAAGCTAAGATCTTGTAAGGTGGCTCTAAAGAGCATTTTAAACACATTTATGCAAAAAAAACAACAAAAAAGCCGGTTTTTTTTGGAAGTCTGGGGATTTCAGGATGCAACATACGGTAGAAACTCACGAATGAGCTCCCAGAGTCAAAGGATTAAACCAAATTCCATCGTATTTTTTATATGATACATAAATTAATATACCTTGGTATTTTATTTACAATCTTTCACTTTGATATAATTATATATTATTACTGTGGTGTATTCTTATCATGTAGTAAGTTAGTACATATTTAATTAATTTGAATTTTTAAAAATAATTAGTTGTTAAAAAATAATTTCATGGAATGAGTTTTTGGTAGCACAGAATAAACTCTCAACCTTTATCAAAATCATGAATTTGCTTTTATAAAATTGATAAACAATTTAACTTTTTTTAAGAATAGACATCTCATAGATTCAATTACTATTTCAACTGTAAAAACTTTTTAAAGCACAATACTAGCCCCCTTACCGGCCCTAGTTCTAATTACCCTAGTATCAGCTCTACATAAATTAATTTAAGTGTATAAAGGATTATTCGCTATTTAATAGTCTTCAAAAGGTTTGTTAATCATTTATTTTTTGCTAAATCGAACCTAAGTGTTGGGGAGGCCAAGAGGATGGGGAGAGGCAGTACCCTTATCTAGGATTGACCTAGAGTATGGGTCCTCCCACTTCTCCAAGAACCTCTTCTCCCACAGTCGAGGATAAGAAGTGAAACCTCCTCTCTTCCCAAGACCGTCCAAGAGTAAAGTATCAATACTTATTCAATTTACAATCTATTTATTCATTAACATTCATTTTCTTTATATTTTAACCTACATTTATCAAATGTAATCTTTATTAGTTTGTTATACACTCATTCCTTATCTTTTATCGCAATCTGTTTACTTTTAACTTACATGCTAAATGCTCCTTTATGTTCTACTTTTATTCATATTTATTCAATTTACAATCTATTTATTCGTTAAAATTCATTTTCTTTATTTGATAACCTACATTTATCAAATGTAATCTCTATTAATTTGTTATACACTCATTCCTTATCTTTTATCGCAATCTGTTTACTTTTAACTTACATGCTATATGCTCCTTTATTTTCTATTTTTATTCATACTTATTTTCCATTTTTGTTTGTTTCTTCTACATATAATACTTGATATTTTAACTACATTGTCACCCACGTTATCTCTGATATCATCTTTTTATTTCTGTATCTGACAACTTATTCTTAATTTATATCTACTTATATTCATTTATTTCATTTTCACCATGTTTTGTATCTGTTGTAGCCCTGATGAAGACCTGCAAAGTGGGTCGAAACGTCGGCAAAAATTAAATAATTCTACTTGTTTAATTTATTATTAATTTGACCGCACCCCCCGATCAACTCCTTCTCATATTTTATCAACGGTCAACCATCTCTACATCATTATAAATTTGTTGTGGTTAAGATAGTATCAACAACTTTTTTCTGCAACTTACAGATCGGTATTGCCACCGCTTTTTTCCCCGAAAAAAGTCAATTTTCAACCACTTTGGGTTCTGAGAGGTAGGAGAGTAATATCCAGTAGAGGTGTGGGTAATGGAAGACATCTCACCCCAGCCGAAGGCGACTCTACTTTATTCTGTACTCACTGGTTACAACAGGATCTATATGTACATGTGTGGTTATTATAAATGCTAGCGTTGATGTTATTTAATATTTAATTGTATAGATTACAGACCATAAAAATTAAAACTGCCTCATTTGAGTTTTTTGGATTTCTTTAAATAAAGATCTATTTATATGTTTTCAGAGCCACAGTTTTTGAAAATGAAAAATCTTCATTTTAAGATTACGCCACTGCGTTGTGGCTTAGTTGAGTTTTATGGATTTCTTTGATATAAGGGTCTATTTATATATTTTCGGAACCATAGTTTTCGAAAATGATCTCCATTGTCGAGTTCACAAATAAACACAAATGTGGCATTGTTAAATGCAGTAAAACTTGAGATACTTTACTTCATTTCTGATATACATGATGATCTAACTGTATTAAATAATTACCCAATTATAAAAAAAAGATTTTATAGTATACTATATGCCACTCCTATCCTCAACACCGGTTGAAAACTTTTTTCTTAAATTAAATTGTGCATTTTCTTGATTCTTAAAATATGCAATTAATTATACCTGTCATTATCTACCAGAAAGTAATAAAGTAAGTGATAGACTCTTTGAAATGGGAGTGGTTTTGAAAGCAAATATGACAAGATTCAAAATTATGAATTAATTGATTTTTTATTTTTAAATAAAAATTACGATGATTTTTATGTTTAAAATTTCTTTTCATGTTAAATTATTTAGTTTAACAATCGTCTTTTTTTTTTTAAAACAACCTACTGTAAATAACAAATATTGAAATTATTTTATAAAATCTTTTTCTTTGATTAAGGAATATAAGGGAGGCCTTAATAATTAAAATCCGCTAAATCTAGCATTATAAAATTACTAACATATTCATAAACAGATGAATAATAAAACACGAATAACTAAAATTTCTTAAACACTAGATATTTATTGTACCAACTTGGTATTATGTGGAGCAGCTTTTAATACTGAATAACACAAATATTTTAAATTTTATGATTCACAGAAAATTATAGAAATTAACATCAAATGTTATAGTTTTTCTACTGTGTAAACGATAGAATTGAAAAATAAATACGGGTACCTTGCGCCTCATTGTCAAGATTCTAACATTTTAAGTGAACAAGAAAATTGCAGGTATACATTTTTGAACTGTTTTTTACTTTTTAGAAATGTATCAGAGACAATGCTCGTTTTTAATAAAATTAAATAAAAATTTTTATTTAAATATAACAAATTCCAAAATATCTATTATTCAAATAATTATTATAATTATTATGAAATTACACAACATTAATTAATTAAGCTCTCAAACAAATTAATGGACAAAAGTATACCTATAGATATGATGTAATATATAAATAAATTGAGAAATCTGAAAAGACAAAATTAATCTAAATGCGCATTTTTTCAAAAAACTATGTCTCCAAAAACATAAATGGGCCCTTATATAGCAGAGGTACTGGGTTTCCAATGCTAAAGATACCAGGTTTGAATCCCGGCTCATGGCAGAAAATTTATTTATCTGTTTCATTGGCCGTGTGGCGACCCTGGATCGGAAGACCCCCTGGGGCACACCCAGTCTCTATAAAGTGAGTATCCTTAATTAAATAATTGATTAGCTTATTAGATTTATAGAAAAGTGGGTACCCTTAATTAAATAATTGATTAAGGGGGAAAACCTGGTGGTGGAGCTTGATCTCAGTCAAATCATCTCCTTGCACAACCGTTGACCTAGAAACAGTGCTTTCCCTAAATAGTACTGAACACAAGACCCTTCATGGATTGTAGTGGTACAGGTTTTTTATTTTATTTTTTATATAGCAGAAATTAAAAAAAAAACTCATGTAAGTCGAAACCCAGAGGCGTAATCTTAAAATAGATGCCATTCTCAAAATCTATGGCTATGAAAACATATAAATACTCTTATATAGAAGAAATCCGAAAAACACAAATAGGCCAAAACACATCATAAAATGAAGATAATTTTTGAAAACTGTGGCTCCGAAAACATTGAATAAAAATTTATCTATTACTCGTTATCTAGATATAATTTCAAATAACTTTATTTGAATAACACCCAACACTGCCTGGTATGTTTAAATATTATGGCCGTCTTTATCAGGCACTCTTGTCGGATTAAAAATATTTGGTGGCACTTAACTACTTATTACAATCAAATAAATAATCAAAATATGCAGTCGTAAAAGGAAATCATTAGTAACAAAAAACGTAAATATAATACATTAGATGGCTGTGAAAAACATATGGTAATGAATTGGTTTAATTAATATTTCATACCATAGGTAATATACGATATGGCATGATCAATATAGATGAAAAAGTCAAAACATGCCTGGGATGTTTCAACGACATTAAATGAGACGTGGTATAGAACAACATTTTCCGTTTTGGGGAAAACATGAGATGACTGAGTGATGTCTAGTGAAGACTAAACTCATTTTGGATGCCCCTCAACAACAAGAACCGATGACAACGTTTAAAAAAATTAACGCTCTTGTTAATGAAGACCATCACCGAACCATTGATCAACTCTCTGAGATGTCTGGAGTGTCCTGGAGTTCAGTTCAGAGGATTGGTTCAATCACTACGAAAATACACCTGCCCACTCTGTGGTGTCTGAAGCAGTTTTTGACCAAGAATGGTGTGACATCTATTGTTCACCCTAACCCCCTTCCTCTATTCACTAAACCTAGCCCCTTGTGAATTCTTTTTATTTCCTCAACTTAAAAGGGACATGCATAGAAAATTTATTGAGACTGTGGAGGATGTAAAGAAAAATCGCTGGTAAGGCTAAAGGACATTCCAATAAGTGAATTTAAAAAAAGTTTTGAACAATGACAGAAACAATTGAACAAACTCATTATAATCAATAGGAATTACCTATAAGATGATCAAAAGTTGGTGTAAAAATCCCCACATATATTATTACAGTAAGGCTCAAAATCGGTTTTGTACCAAATATAAGGTCCTGACATGCTCAAATACCATGAATGGGGTACCGTTGGATTCAGAATTTCAAGGGGGGTTAGCGAATCGTATTCTCCACTTTTGTTTTTCTTTCTAAAATAAATAAAGTAAATACAAACATTTTGCTAGGCTTCAATACTGGAACGGTGGTAGGTCTGTAGATCGATAAGGGACAAATTGGATCTTGAAGATTTTGATACGTACAGCAAGACCCGGATAGTTCCTCCGGAACTATCGGATCCTGCGTTTTTAAGCTCCGAAAACGTAGTATTTTCGAGATAACGCAAGGCATATGGTCCGCATCCACACAACCTTACATTACTTGTAGTACTGTCATTGAATACATGTCTCATTTCGTGGACTTGAGGTCTCTATGATCGAGAGAGGAGGAGTTTATATTATTTACCAATGGTGTTTTTGATTGGCAAGCCATATCATTGTTAATTTTTCACCAAATCTCAAGATTGAGCCACCAATTTCGAAGGCTTCCTTCTCCTTCAGGCGGGCAAAATAGTCCAATCATCCCGAAAATTCAGGCAAGTTATGAAAGAGAACAAACTTTATTTGCAAATAACTAAGAAGTTACACACTTTTCCCTTATGCCTATAACTATATAATAGATTACATAATTCCCTACAAAAGGAGAAAAAAAATCATCGAAATCGGACAATTTTTTAGCAAAGATACAGCTTATTGAAATTCGTAAACATGTTGGTTCTAAACATTAATGAAGACTTAAATTAATTTTTGTTTCCTTTGACGATTATATTTATTGATAATGTAACATTTGATGTCTTTATCTTTTGATATGTTGCATTATTTTAATATTTTATTAATTTGGCATTTGATAACAATATCCTGTGCGAATTTTTCGCACGGGCCTACTAGTATTGATAAATAGAAGAAGTTAAACCTCTTAAAGCTCTTCCGAATCTGGTCTATCACAACCGCTTCACTCCCTGGTAGAATCTAAAGGGTGCAGATTATGTACCATTAAGGCTAACTTAACCTTTTTGGGTACTGATATACTGACTTCACAGTGTTTATCAGATGATGTGGTGCAAATGCAGCTCTTAGGTCAATGAAAGCAAAATATATGCTCTGTTCTCGATCACGTGCATTCTCTGCCACTTAGGGAGAACAAATGAACCTGCATTTGTCTGAGAGGACAAAAAAAAAACAGCCTGTTCCTCTTCTATATCCTTCGACTATATATTTCGACATAGACCCACAGAAGCTGTTCCAATATTCGAATGTATAACTTGTATATAAACGAAGATGGGAAAATAGGTCTATATTTTTTACAGATGGTATGACTTACCTTCTTATAGATGGAAATAATAATATTTTGCTCCCATTCTTTTGGTATTTTCTTAACATTACATATTTCCTGAAATATCTCTTTCAATTACTCTCCTTCGAATTTAATATTCGAGGGTAGTACTGTCAAGATTACCAACATTGTCAAATTTCATGTTATCAAGTCCTATCTGTATTCCATCCTCTGTGATGCAGATAATCATATCCTCTAGTTCATCTACCACATTTCTGATAGGTTTCCTATCCAAGTTCACAAATATAAATTGTTCTTGTTAGTGTTGTCTGCAAACTTTTAGGGTTTCCTTTCCATCAGCAATAATTTGTCCAGCTGCATTCTTAATATTTCTCAACTGTTTTTTAATCTTTGCTCTAAGGCTTTTCACAGTGAAAATTGCTTTGCACTTGGAAGTTCTCTATCTCCTCCCAAGTAGCCTCTTTTATAACATTCTATCTGGCATAGGTTTTTGCATCTAAATACAGTCTTGCCAATCAGCCTCATTCTTGCATATTATATATTTCTTCTAGGCATCCTTCTTTTCTTTCATTCTTAGGGGTACTTCTACCATCCATCAATTTGTCCTCTTGGTACTAAAAGTAATTTTCTTTTTGCCACACTTTTTTTTTTTTGTTCTTCCCTACCTCGCCTTATAGGCTGTACGGGATTTTCCCGGGCCGGGGGGTGAGGGCGGGGAATTTAAAATCCCCTCCGGCACCAGGATGCGAACTCGTACTTTTTTATTATCTCAAATCTTTGTTCTCCGGTTACCAGGCAACTCGCGGTGCTGTGCACATGCTTTAGCCCATTCGGCCACCCCGTCCCCAATTTTTTTGCCACAGACTTCCATTAGTAGCTCGTAGAATACAATTTTTGACATCCTCCCAAAAGATATTCAGGTCATAATTCCTACTTATTTCTTCAAGCTCCCTTCTCAAGATATCAGCGTGTATTTGATTCTTATCTTCCTAAAAAAACAGTTCAACTAAAAGTATGTCATACGATTTAGGTCTCCTTCTTTATGATAAGGTAATAAGTTTTGGGGGTTCACCACTAACAACCGGTGATTGGTATTTAGTTCAGCTTCTCTTATTACCTTAATATCAGTGAATAACTTCCTGATTTCTTTGCTACCGATATTCATTGTATATACATATGCCAATTGTCTAGCAAGACAATTACATAAATTTAATATATTTATCCTTTATAGAGGCTGGGATGGCCGAGTAGGCTAATGTTTGTGCAAAACATGCGTTGCCCGGCAGCATATTTACAAACTCTATACGGATTCAGAAACCCTGCCTAAACTCGTTTAGTGTTTGTATTGGCCCTTGGGGCTGGCCCATTACAAACCATATACTGATTCAGAGAACTAACCTCTGCCTGTCCACTGACGGTATAGATATAAACAAAATTATTTATTTTGTTTAAAATACTTTTTCACTGACAAGCAATACTATCAAAAGGCAAGAGAAATAAGTGCTGAGTATAAATAATTCTTAAAATTACAATAGAAAGACACGCTGCCCAAGATTCCTTCTCTCCCCTGGGTATGTGAGACCTATCAGCCTACTAGAGACAACTCACACTGCAGGGAGGTGAGTGACTCCTGTGGGAGACATTGCTCCTGGTCCTTCAGGTTGGGGATTGGGCATAGGGCTAAGGGTGATTGTTATAAGTTCTTGAGGAGTTCAAACTGAAATCGTTTGTAGGATGGGAGATGACCAATGGTAGTGACCAATAGGAGGTCCAATTATTATGTGAAGCAAGGCCAATAGGAAAGCACCCTATTGGTAGTCCAATACTTACCTATAATGAATATATGGACGGGTTAGGAAGGAAACATGGTTGCTCATTGGATCAACTCCAAAAAATGGCTTTGGATGGAGATGGCCTAGATGAAATGGACTGAGACTACCCCCCCCCCCCTCCCCTCACTCCTGACAGCAATAAGGATATAGTGGAAGAAAAAAATATATATTCTGAATATCTCTATCTTTTGGTTTGAAATATTACAATTGAAGCAACCAATAAGTAATAATTAGCTTAAATTCTTTACACTTACATTTTGGCCACATATTTATAAATGTTACCAATTGCTGAACACCATAATCTATAAGCATTGGATCCAAATTTTCATTTGGAAGTGTCATTAGTCCCTTCATAAATTGCAATGACACTGTTTTTGAAAGCCTTTGTTGTTGCCAATAATCATCTAATCGCTCTGAAAGAATTTATTAATTAGTAAATCTTAATAATGAATTATCTAAAACGTTCAGAACAATAAAACTTACCTATAACAGTTTCTTGATCAAACTTTTTGAAAAGTATAAATGTGCCAGGAATCGAAAACAACTCAAACATTTTATCTGAAAAACAAAAAAATTAAAAATGTTTAAATGCCCCAGAAATCGTACAAGGATTCTTCCTGTCAAGAAATCCACAGTGTCACTCTCAGAGCCTTTCAGTACAAAGACAGGACTCAAGATTCCCTTTCAGGTTTAGAAAATAAATTTATATTTGGTATATAAATATATTACGAGTACAATATTGAAACAAGATGTACTGAAGGAAGGAGCAAAGTGGGTATAAATATTTTTTTAAGAAGAAACAAAGTTCAAATTTATATTTCGCACCACGAAAAACTCTTAAATATGAATTTTCATAGGAATAAAAAAATTAAATTTTTTTACTTAAAAATTTAAATTAAAGTTTTCGCCTTCAACATAATTCTAGTTCATGATATCTTCAACATGACTACTTATTTACACAAAAATTGGCAGGGATTTAGGACCATATAAATGACATGGAATGGTAATACAAATAAGAACTGAAAATACAAAATAAAAAGGTTTAAGGATTCTTCTTTATTTATTCCTTATGAAGGTATACAGCCTAGAAGTTATTGATGTGCTTTGGTAGAGCATTGATTCCATTCCAACATTGAATTAAAAATGGATCCTGAAGAGTTATAAATACTTTAGGACAAGGCATGAAAAAACAAAACAAATATTCCAATAAAATCAAGTCCAAAAATTTTCATTCCAATACAAATTTGCATTTAAGATTTTTAAAGGATGCGAGAAACGAACCTGAATTTCTGTTTCATGACAAATATTTACTTGGCGTAGTTTGTTGGAAACGTCTTTTGGTAATTATACATTTGAATTTATTTAATACAATCAGCCATATATTTTATATATATATATTTATAACCTTTAAATTCATGCAGGGCAAAGACAGAAAACAATCATACAAAAAACTGTTAAAAATTTTAAATATATATGAAGAGAAGAATAGTTGGGGTGATCAGTCAAATTAGAAGATTTCTTTTCCTTGTGTTATGTTTAAATAGCACTATGCTATTCAATAGGAAATTCTTTCTTTTTACCAATTTTCAGAGGAAAAAAATAGTCTGTGTGAATTACAACTATTTTGTTAACAAATAATTGGTTTTTGTGAATATTACATATGTGAGTGGATATCAGTGAAATATTACAATCTTCTTATTTGATTACATCTCATTAATACAAGTCAGTTACTGTAAGATATTCTGTAGTTATAGTACATTTATCGTAAGATTAATTAAGGTTTATGAGTGATTAAATCAAATTATTTAATAGAATAACTGGTGATCCTAAAATTTTGAGTGGTAGTGTATATACATATCTATACATAAGTGAAAAAAATTACCTTTAAGTTCTGGTGTCTCCATGTATTCTATAGGTTTTTGAATTGATCTGTCCAAAAAATTCTTAACTACCATACTGAATTCAGGATTCAAGTGATGCTTATGAATAAAATTTTGAGCAACTGTAGATATATCTTGACCAATTTTGTACGGCAATTTGAAAGGACTGGTAATGTCACCCTCAATGAAAATATCAAAAAGAAAGTCATACACCTAAAATTAATGCAATAAATATTTTAAAAAATAAATAAATAAACAGTTTTGATTAATAATTCAATAAATAAGAAATAAAATGAAATTGTTTAATTATAATTACACACTAATGATTAAATCAGAAGATTCGGTCGGTAGGAAAGTTCTTAAGAAACTTTGAATACTTTGCCAGGACAAGATCAAGAACATAAGGATTATAGTCATGATGAAGGATACTGTGAGAAATATAATCTGGAACATTAACTGAAGTTGCACTAAATGTAGCTCATTATCCTCCCTCCCTTTTTTTAAATGTCAACAATTTATTTTTTAAATCCTCTTTTTGTTTCTATCTTATTACACGTATAGCACATAGCATGTATTTCTATCATCTTCCACTAGATGGCTACCAACGAACAAATCCATTAAAAACTTGACATTATATTGCCTAAAAGCAAGAATTAGAATAAGCCTTATCCTTCTTTATTCTTTTACCTTAAGAATAGATGAGAGTATTGTACCTCTCATTATGTTTTTATTTTTAGCTTTAATCTCTTCCTCTTTACTCAAAATTTAATTTTCGTTTTGTTAACTTTTACTTCAACTTTCTTTCCTTACCATTCAATATAACATTATTTACAATTTTAGATTTATTGTTGTTGTTATTCAAAAATTCTATATTTTAATTAGAAGGTTTTTAGCTCAATTTTTCTATCAAACTTTAACACATTTTTATTTTTATGTTGGCTCTGCACAACTTGTAGATCTTTTGCAGCTTTAACCAGCTTTCTCCATCTCTGCTTATCTTGGAATTTTTCTTTCCATTTAGCTGCATGCAGCTCTACAGTATCTTTGTTGATTCAATCTATCCGTCTGGATTTTGGTGTTCTACGATTTATATATAGATATATAATATAAAATATATACATTTTTTTCATTGTTCATATACCTCAACATTATTTCTTTATATCAGCATAAATTGATATAATATTGCAAAACGGTACCATAGTATGCTTACCTACCATGCAATACTGTCTGGGATTAAGCTGATTGAGCAGAACTTTATTTTTCAGCAAATGTGATAATGATAATAAATGTGGCTATTTTGTCATTTTATGAAATAAAAGTAATATTAAATAGAAAACAAAAAGAAATTATGAAATATGGAATGTTTCCAAAAAAAAAAAAAAAGCGGAGAATTCTAATATTAGAACAATTTTACAGATATATTCAGCTACATAGAGTTCATATAAAGGCTCTTGACATTAACTATAAAGAATAAAGACTGAAGTGGATAAGAAAGTAGTGAAATTTAAACAATACAATAGCAATACTCAGTAATAATCTCTTAATACAACAATAATAATCTCCTAAAAAAATAACTTCAACACAATGGATTGGTTCCTTGGCTTGTTGTTAACTGAAAATAATGTTAATTAAAATATATATTACATATTAAATATATTCATGCATTAAACATGGGACAGAATAAAGTCTTTATAACAAAGTTGTTTTATTTTACATTTCTCAGTTACAACTGAATGATATTAAGCTGTATTCTTACTTTATACATGATATTATTATAATTTTAAGATTAACAGTCTTCTTCACTATCTGAAACACTGCAATAAATGCAAATAATTTCCCCATAATCATGGTCAGGGAACTCGGCGCATGCTGTGTGAAAAATGCGTGGGCATTTTTCACACATCACTCGAAAGTTTCCTTCCATCGTACAGAACTCAGCATCGCAGGGTGCTTCAAAGTAGGCCTCAACAGCTTCAATGCCTACTTCCTCAGCTAGAGGACCATACAGTCCCCTGTCATATCCTCGGGCTTTCTGAATTCGCATTTCCATGGCAACTTGAAACGATATGGAAGATTGTTCTGACTCTTCATCTGAAGTATCAAAGTTCTCTTCTAAGTTCTCATGATCATGTTCTTCATGATTACAATAACTTGAGATGTCTTGTGCCTGCAAGTTCAGATTAATAATATAAATAATTGTTTTAACTTACAATTAACTCAGAAATATTTAAATAGAAAATAGAATCCTGCTTGAAATGGCATAAATCTAAGCAAGAAAAATAAATTACTTAATTTTATTAATAAGCAGTTTTATATTGTTAAAGCGCTTACATAAATATTAATATTTAATCATATTTCTTAACTATATAAAAAACTGATTGATTAGTTATTTATTTAGTTAAGAAGATTCATATTAATAATATTTTCTTCTTGTTTATTTCCCATAACTTTATTAATTACATAAGTTTCCACAATTTAATTAATCAACTTCTATTAAACTTTAACATAACAATATTATACAACATAATGTGGTAGAAAACTTAAACAATGAAGGTAAATATAACAACATATAGGAGTTTATGAAAATAGAGGTAGATCTACTCCAATAAACCTTCCAGGCCCAGTTTGGAACCCTCGGCTAGAGCCTGAAGTGGAGCCCCCTTATCAAGACATTTAAATCCCTGGAAACCACTTATGGTGGACTATTAGTTCATCTGTCTGTCATCACACCTACATCAGACCATTAGTTCACCTGCCCACTAACTGACAACATTATATGTGCACCTTCACTAATTGTACCTATAAGTTGTATTTTTATTTCTTATTATTTTAATGTAAACAATTTAAGTTCTAAATAAGTACATAAATTGTGAACTTTTATTTCACCCCCAAAGCTCAAAAGTAGCAGGAGGAGGAAAAGGGGATGAAAGGTCACAATTTTTGGATTTTCGCTTATATCTCAAAAACAGTACATCACAAGAGAAACTTTTCCTATAGTAAATAAAAGTTTATAAAATTATCTAAAACTTTTATTCTATAGTTTTTTTTTTCAAATACTCAACCGTTTTTTAGCTACACGCTCATAAAAATCTGACGTTCTTAAAAAAAATCATTTTACCTCAATTTTTCATAAAAGATTCCTTCATATCGTCTAACTATTCATCAGCAAAATAAATTCATTTAAAAGAAATTATAGAAACTTAAATTTCCTATTAGAATATATATATATATATATATATATATATATATATATATATATATATATATATATATATATTTTACTTTTTATTATTATTATTTTTTTTTTTTTTATTGTCAAACCTATACTTTAAGAATAAGTTTATTTAAAAAAAATAAAGATGAAGGTATATAAATCATCTAATCAAAAATGATAGCAGAATAATCAGACACGACTCTTGTTACCCATCTTTCACATGAAGGAATGATCCTCCTAGTCCTCAGGCTCGGACACCAGAAACCTTCCTATCAGCATATATTATTTTTGGTTCGATATCAAACTGCCTTTTTCTATTATTATGTTCCTATAACCTTTATCCTCTAATTCTCCATACAAGGTCTGGATGCTAATCCATCCGCTTGTACTCCCACATACTAAGTAAGATGATCCCCGTTAGTATTTCATCCTCCCACAAAGTCAGGAGATTGATCCGTCCGTCTGTGGCTACCATTCCTATGGAGTGTTAAGGTTGATCCCTTACACCGCAGACCAAAAGTGATTTGGGTGCTGATCAGCCTGACACTTGTGGTCATCATGTCTGCAAATCATCCTTCATCCACTTAAATATCTTATCCCTAAATTGAACTACCCTCTGTCGAGGCCTTCTGGTAACTGTACAATACCTCGACATATTTTTTCCTGAATTAACTTCTGACCCAAGATAAATTGCTGCTAACATTTTCAAAGCCGTGGGGTTCAACATAACTGCACTGTTTAAAAGAGTAGCATGATGCTGAATTCCAGATGACAGTCTAACTAATTTTATAATATTATAATTAATTATGATATTATTAAATTATATTTAATTATAATATAATTAACTAATTTTATATTTCATTTAATATAAAAAATTCAACAGATGAAAAAATAGCTACTTTTTTAAATCGGTAATAACCTAAAGACAGTAAAAAAAATCTTCAAAGGTAAAATAATCAATTGTATTTGATTTGTGACATTAAGTGCTTAGGTATCAAAACAATCAATGACCAGCAATAGCAGTTTTATCGTAGATGTAATTAGGAAAAGTTTCTAAGTAGCCAAAAGAAAATTATCGGCCACTCTTTTTTAACACTTTTTTTGGTCAAATTTCCAATGTGAGAGGTGTTGCCATTTTTAGTAAAACTCAAGACGTCTTCAAGTAAACTATTTTATAGGTTTTTCTCATTGCCAATATTGTTTCCACAATCCACAATTGATACTTTTACAAAGTCTTAACCTTGAGAACACAAAACATAAATTAGTGAGTCCACAACATTGGGTTTATTTATCTTTTATGTGATAAATCCCTTCTTTATAACTTTAACAACCATGATAGCTGTCTTGACACTTATTTACTCCCTGTTTTTTTGTAGAATTTTTGTCTGGAAGAGAAGAAGAAATGATACTTAATACAATATTAAACTGACAAACATCAAATAATCCAGCAGGGAAATAACCAAGAAGGCTTATGACAAAAATGAACATGTAATTCTATTTTCTGTATTTTTTAAATATTATATTAAATTATTTCAATAAAAACTTCATTGATTTAACAAAATATATAAAAAATTAACACGATATAACAATAGTAAATATCTAATCCATTAATCCTTATTTATACCATCATTGCACCAATTTCATTCAAATTATGGCAGTGGTCTGAAAATAAAAAACTTAATACTAAACCAATATTAACATGTAGTTTTATTTGACAAGTTACTTGAGTATAAGGACATGGCTTAAAGATTAGATATGAAAGGGAAGGATTGGATGGTTTAGGAAAGCTCTTACACTCAATTCATGTCCAATGGCCATGTTATAGTCGATTTGATGAGGTTATTGTAATAAATTTGAAGTTTAAAGTGTTTGTAGGGGTCAATGTTGAATTAGGCAGGAACAACATAAGGTTTCTTGTAATTTAAGTCATTTATGAGGATCTCATGTTTTTCATTCATTCATATGAAATCCAGCTAAGAAGAACTGTTCTAACAAAGAT